TTCAGCTCAACCTCATTGGTTTTCAGTGCAGCAGCACACAATGCACCGTAACACAAAAACATAGCTCTGATTATTCTGTGTTGAAATGTCGAATGCAGTGTTGATATGCGAGTACACTTCTGTTGTTGGTGATGATCTGCTCTCCCTGATGCTCTCTCTGTGTCAGGTTTCCCTTTTTTAATCTTCCATGCTGGAATGTTTAACCTCTACCCACATAACTCTTGTGTTTCTTCCTCTCTGAATGTCGAGGGAAAGTTTCGAACGTTGTATTGAGTGGACTTGTAGTTGCATGAACAAAAAGCTTGTACTGAAAACCTGCTCAAATGTTCAAAGTAGAAACTTTGGGGTTTTCAAGGTTTTTAGAAGTTGACAGAGGTTGTTCATGAACATCAAGGGTGCTGCACAAGTCTTTGCAGACAGTCATTTACATGCTGTGGCTGTGCACGATCACCAGGTGGCAGTATCAAAAATATGTGGAACAATTAGCATTGCTACTTTTATTTATCCTTGTGCTTGTTTTAAACACTCCCCTCGAGTGTTAAAAGCAGTGTAAACTTTCCACCGTAGCTGCTCTCTGTGCTTCTAAGCTTCCGATGAGTTTTTTTTTTTCACACGTCTTTGTGTTGAACTCGGCTGACACTTTCTGTCTTCGTCAAGCCAACTTTTCACTTAAGAAGTAGTCTAACTATGCTTAACGTCATCTCTTTTACTGCTGTTTTTTTAAGACTGCATGCTGACGTGTCTGTATTGACTACGTAGTCCTGGCTACCCATAGTCCTCGACTCTGCACAGTCAAAGACTCTGTCCCTCAAAGGTGACCCATAAAGTGGCTTTGCCTGCTTTTCTGCTAGTAGAATTGAGCTATCATTAAAATGACCTTTGCAATATTCATGGGATGGCATAAATCTTTATGATACTTTAATTGCCTTCAATTTTGCAGAAACAGATTCGTCATAAACTAGCTGCTCTTTCACCCTTTGCGATTGGAAATACTATTATAGTATTAGGACAGTGTTTCAGATTTCTGGTTGTCTCAATATATAGACGCACATAAACTGCTTAACTTCACTACATTCTCCGCATCCTACTGTTTAATAGAAGTTTTTGATTTTTTTTATTACTTGTTGGCTGTTGTAACTTAGTGTTAGCTCCAAAATAATCTAATGCATATCTTATCTTGATGTTTTTTCTGGCCACTTCACATGTTAAAGTGTCTCCAAGTAATGTTTGGTATTCAGATGTTTGATTCTGTTGTTGACAGATCAGTTTGGTGTGAGCATCAAAGGATGTGACCCCTGAAAAGAAGGCCTTGATTTGGGGCAAGGTCTGTTTTGGACGGATGCAATTAAGATTGTGCCCCTGGGAAGGGGAAAAAACCCAAATAATCGCTCTCCTCTGTTTTTTTTCCAATGCCAGCTCTGGGAAATGAGGTCTTCTCTCACTTCCATACCTACTTTAGGCCCTGGTGTGATGTTTTGCAAATGTGCATTCTTGTACATTTAGGAGGCCCCCTTTTCTTTCAATTCCCTGTGGACCCTTAGTGAATGTGAAGCATTCTGGAAAACAGGAGTGCAAGGAAAAAAAGGAAAGAAAGGAATAGGGAAATGAGTCCACAGAAGGTTCAGATTAAATTGTGTTGTGTTGCTTCTTCTTTTTTTCCCCTCTTCTCCTCCCATCGGATGTTTTCATAACTAAACCAAATGTGTGCTTGAAGTCAGCCAAGAGAATCCCTAAAGCAAAATGTTAAAGTCAAATTGTTGAATCAAGTTTCCGCCGCCCTCTGGGCTTCCAGGCTGCATTTGAAGCTCTGCGCCTTCTGAACTCTGTTTTCCCTTCGGCCAGACGATTCTCTGCAAAGCCTTTCGTTGCCTCTGGCAGAGTGTTACATTTAATCCAGACAGTTTCGAATGATTTTTTGATGAAACATTTATTAAACATATGTCAGCTATGTTATTTTTTTTTCTTTTCTTTTCAGTGCTTGTATGCAGCCACACCACTAACTGGAAGCTTTAACATTAGCTGTCTGTCAAAGCTTATTGCAGATGATGAGCGTTTCACTTTAGCTGCTGGACAGAGGATAGAAACGTGGTGACAAAAGCTTCACAGAAATGTGCAGAAAAATCTGATGTTAATGACCTTGCAGAAAGTGAAGTATGAAGGCATTTCTTCAAGTATTTTTAATGTGATTTTGCATAGTTGTTGCTTTTTGCCTTTGTTTTAACATAAGTGTATTATTTTTTTATGTTACTTTACATTGCTTCTGACACATTTTCTGTGCTCGGGCAAGCTGCCCGGGTATATTTAAGAGGCTGTCCAAGTATATTTGGTGATTCCTTATTTATTTTATTTTTAATCCATCTGAGAGAACATCTGAACAGTCTCCTGACTCTTATTTTCAAACTTCATTTGCTCCTAGCCAACCACCCTTGGCTTTTTCCGTCTTGTGTTTTACCTTCTGGCTGTATCACTGGCCAGGTTGCTATTGTGGTGGTCCTTGTTGACAGTTGGCTTCTTCCTGATTGAGTCTCTCATCCTGGAGCTGTACATGTTCCAACTTCACAGATTAACTCTGAGCTTGAGAGCCACCCCAACCAGGGAGCTGGTTAATGTGCCACAAGGCTGCAGAGCAGAGCAAAGACTGTGATCAGCAGCAGCAGTCCAAGTTGGTGGAGTTGGAGTTCATCTTCAGAATGAGAGATGCACTGAAGAAGCGGCTTATTATATTTACCCATTATATATAGGTTTATTTATTCTGATCTGTGTAAAATACGAATAATCAACTTTTTATAGAGTTATAAGTCCAAAATCATTCTATCTCCGTGGTCATTCTAAGCTCAAAGAAGATCTGAACCCAGCAGTTAATCCTGTTTTTGGCCCTCTTCCATCACCTTCTCAGCATTTATAGAGGCTGAGGCCCCACTGCCTTTGCAGGGCAGGCAGCTTTGGTTTGGGGTTAGTGCATATGGTGTTGTGGCTGGTGCTCCTCATCTCCCTCCTTGCCCCAGCTTCCTTCCACATCCTATCCTGTCTTGCCTCGTCTGTTCCACTCAAACCAGATGTTTTTCTGCAGTCTAAGCAGCGCCGGGACGAAGCATTATCGCAGATGAAGAGCTGAAGCAGCAGCCAGGTGGAATGATGGGATGTTTAGAGCTCTGGGGATTGAGAGTAAGAAGTAGGGTGGGTGTTTGGGGATAAAGATTGAAGGGGCGTGAAAAATGCATCATACACCAGGGAGCCGGGACTGGGGAACACATTGAGCTCGGCCGAAGACAAATGCGTTTCCAATAATTGAATTTCTCCTTCTTCTTCTACTTCCCCTCGCTCCCTCGCTGTCTGTCTGTCTGTCTGTCCCTTGCCTAGTCAGACGGGTCCTGGAAAATATAAACAGGATGCACTCTTGTCTGATCGTAAATCCCCTCTCGTCTGCTCTCTGGCCCCAAGCCCTGGACCACGTCCGTTCCCCTACAGCCCTCTCCACTCCGTCTCCTATCCAGACCCCCTCCACCCCAACCCTGTTGCTCAGAAGAGGAAGCCAAGAGTGTGTTTGTGTGATATGTGCACATGTGCATTGAGAACGGTTGTGTGTTTAATATACTGTTACCCAACACTGGGGTTGGAAACGTGGTTGTGGGCTGGTTTTGTAACTACTAATCATTGGCCACATTTAGCATGTAATTAACTCAGAGAAGACCTGTCCTCCCACCTGTAGGGGTTAAATCTCCACAGCTGGATGCAAGCTGATCCACACATGGCGTTTCGCATGCTGTCATTGCTTTACTTTTTGCATTTCTCCTTACATTTTTAGCAGTGATGGCAAGCAGCATTGACCCTAGACCTACTTGCAAATCTTTTACACTTTAAGTAAATTGGAAGGTTTTTAAAACTGTACATGACCAATTGGAATCCTTGTGCACTGATCCGATTCATGCAGTAACACTGCCGATGTTTGCACAGTTCTAATTTCACCTGTACAGTACATCAGGCTCCTTTGAAGTAAACAACAGATTCTGTTTAAACAAAAAGTGTAAGAACATCCTTTGTTGAGAACGTGCTTCAGAACAAGATCCTTAATCAATCTTCATTTCCCCCGTGACACAGATAACAACTGTGGTTGTTAACTGATTGTGGAAAAGCAGGAAAAAGAAAACTAAGTTCCCTTTACAAGTGCTGCTTAGCCTCCTCTAAATAAGGCACTTGACCGCAGCTGCTCGGCATCCAACAATAGAAGACAGAGCGGCTTTCTATGGTTAGCAGGCATGTTTAATGACCTTTCCAGTAAATAAATAATTTTTTCTAACCTTTTCTTCAGAAGTATGTGCTCTATGTCAGTCATCACCTCACAATTTTTAAAAGCTAACTCGGCCCAGACTGTTTTCCTCGTGAGATCACTCTGCATTGACTGTTTTTGCAGAGCGAAACAAAGGCTCATTTTTTGATACTGACACATCAGTGTTTGTTTTCTTATCTTCTTTTTATTCAGTTGCAGACTAAAGGCATTCAAACCTTAAGCTCTTCAATTACACTCTCCTTCCCTTCTGCCTGCTTACTTTTCTCTGCAGGCCCAATTATTTTCACCGTCAAAAGGGGAATTAGCGTTCATTTTAAGATTTGCATTCACTAGGTGTGTATCATCACAGCAAGTACAAGCCTGAACGTTTTGAGTTAAAAAAACGGACTTGGTGCATATGGGTTTGGAATGAAACTGAAGAAAAATGGCACAAGCATTTCTTTTTTAGGCAGTGGATCCAGAACTCTTTTTGAATTTGAAATGATCCATCTTTTCTATAATATGTCAGCCTGAATGTTTTCAGGGAAAGCTTCTTTTTTCGTTTTGTTTTTAAAGTTGTTATACGTCAAACAAAAAGGCTTCCCTTCAGGTCAAACCTGTGTCAAGTCAGTTCTTTTTTTCTTTTTTTTTTTCTTTATTCAGCATGAAGTTGTTTTCCACTTCTGATTCGGTGACAGATTTACAGTAGCTGATGTAAACCTTCTCTGTGCAGGTTTGCACGCACTGAGGCGAGCACTGGGAGGTTCCCATCAACCACCGTCTGACCAGCAGCTAATGGGGACAGTGACAGTCACTCTGCAGGACCTCCAGTGGGCCATGTCTGTAGTGAAGCCCAGTGCCATGAGGGAGGTTGCTATTGATGTCCCCAAGGTACATTAACTGACACAACTAGTCTGTTTGTTTGTTTTTTCCATTCATTCTCTCATGACTTAAGCTCATTTAGACTCATCTGTCTTCTTAAAGGTGAAAAACATATCTTTTTAAAAATTCACTCATCTATAAGAAATGACCCTCATATTGATCTTGGAGTTAGTAGAAGCTGATGCTTCCAGATTGCACTATAAAGCTAAGCTCCTGTTCTAGCAGGAATTTTTATTTGGCCATTTGGCATAAACTCCAAAGGTAGGGTGTTTTCGCACATGCAGGGTTTAGTCCATTTCAGTTGAAATCTGGTTCATTTTCTCCCTTGGGCTGGTTCGTTTGTGCAGGTGTGAACACAGTAATCAACTCTTCCAAAAGAGTCTCGGTCCGACCCAACTACCAGGTATATATTACAAGTTTAAGCTAAAAAACTTCCTGTAGCCACGTTTGCTTTGTATCCTGAATGTGGAAAGGTACTATAGATGTGCAAAAATCTGTACAGGCTAGCAACTAGCTGTGAATATAAAACCTCTGTGATCTCCAATAGTCTAGAACACAGCACTTTCTTCCTGTATTTACTTTTGTTGCTTCCGCTCCAGACACATCTGGCCAATGAGCCGACTGAACCTGCTCACATGGTTTGTAGTGACGCGTTTTGGTTTGCTCAGAGTTCTTTTGGATTTTTTTCTGTGCAGAAAGAAACCAAATCATGAGGAAAAGCTACAAGTTTACAAACTCATCAACTGATTCAGACAGGAGTAAACGACCTACAGGTGTCAAAACACCCTTAATCATTCTCGTAGGTCCATGATGTAAAATTGTTAGAGTAGGAACATCAAATGATGTCATAGTGACTAAATTTAACTCCTGGGTTCATTAGTTCCTGAAATGGTTCCTAACCTTTGGAAATAGGCTAACAACTGTTAATGGGAGTGAAAGTTAAGCTGCAGTTATAGTGACAGCTTCTGAGTGTTTTTCTTCCAGTTATAGAGCCAAAAGAAGGAAATAAGGAAAAAAAGCGAGCTAACGTCAGAGAGTGCAACGTCTGCTATGCAACAGACAGGAAGCACAGGCACCGTAAAAACTAAATTAAACAGATATCTCTGCTGACGCCATAAAGAAATCTGGTTCTTGAGTTGCTAAATGTTCCACTATGATCACCACTCTCACTGACGTGATTATTCCTTGTCCACAAACTGTATAACAGACGTAATCGTGGTGACGTCACACATTGATTTCCAACTCTGCATTTCAAAACCTCAACATTTGAGCAGCTGCACTCTAGGTCTTTCTCGCCTTATGAGAAGAGAGACTGGAGTGCTGTTATCAGTTATCAGTTAAGGCTAGCAAGCTTAGTCAGCCAGCTGAACCATAGACGTATAGACACTATACTTGCTAATTAGTGCTAATCAAATAACTACCCTAACACAAGAATTTCACTCACAAAAACCGGAGCACAAACTTCTAGGATGATCTGTACCACATAGCAGGATTTGAAATGCTCTGAAAGGTGGTCAGTAATTTGTTTTTAATGTATTGCTCCTGAATATAAACTTATTAATTTCATATCTTAAGAGTTTCTGGGGATCGATCAGCTTAAACCTCCGGTTGGGCCACGCTTCCGTTCAAGTCATGAGCAATGCCTTTGAAATTCTCACTATGTCAACTTCATGACATTTAACAGAGGCTGGGCTTGTACTCACATGTGGACATAGAAACGCATGAAGACTTTTGTTTGTTCATTTTCAACTGGAGCTGGATGTCAAAGAGTAGTCTGGGAAAAATTAAGAGACCTTCTCTTCACATACTTGACTTATTTATGGCATCATTCATAATGACACAGTCTGGATGAGATGATGAGAGGAAGTAGTCTGGTTTGTTTCATTCGATCTTTGTTTCATCGAAAGGAGAATGAAAATCTCTAAACTAAACAGAATCGCGAGAAAAGCTCAAAGAGAGCAGCAGCAGCAGCGGTCTTCCTGTGTATTTTATTGTCCCTTTTAAATGCACATGAAACAATCCCTTAACTACTCTCTGACCACTGAATTACCAGCAGATGAGGGTCAGGCTGAGGAAGAGTGGAAATGACCCCGTGGCCATTTTACCCTCCGCTACAATGAAGATGAATCACTTGTTCTTAGTGGATGAAGGGAGAAAAATGGAGCAAAGGAGGGGAGGGACAGAGGGGAAGGAGAGATGAGAGGACAGTGGTGAGACTCCAGGATGTTTTGGAGTTTGCATGTGCAAGACATAACGGACAGGAAGAGGGCTAACATCATCCTCCACCGGTAATTGAAAGCAGATCGGGTCGCTAACGGTTCCTGCCAGCAACCAAAAAAAGAGAAAGCGAAAAGAAGAAGAAACGTCCTTCCTATCCCTTCACCTCCACCCGCCTCCCCTTTTCTCTGCAGCACTCTGCACTGAGCTCGCCCAGAGACATTCAGTCCTTGTGGCCGGTTCCTGGAAACAAGAGAGGAGTGAGTTTGAGTTTGGATTTTTTTTTCTCCTCTCCTTGCACAGCTCAGCTGAAAGGGCAGCCGCAGAGCCCCGGACTTGATTATATCCACATGAGTGCAAACATTTGTTTCTAATCCATTTTATATAAGAAACTTCCAGTGGTGCCGGATAAGTACATGCCTCGAGTTCCTCCGAAACCTTCTCAGATCACAGATCTAGAGATTTTACAGAATATGCCTCTCAATTTACCATTTATTTATGATTAAATACATCAGAAGTTTGATTTAATCCTTTGTTTGCTCTGTGATGAGAAATTCTTCAAACTATCTCAGTTTACCCAGTTTTTTTTTTAATGAACATCTTCCACTTTATAGCCTGGCTTTAATATTTTTATTTGGCAGCTGTATAACAAGCCTATTATTCTTCCTTTTAAACATACTCCTTGTCTCTCTTGACTTTTTTTTGTCTGTGAAGTCCCCCACACCCCTCCTCACAGCCCCATCAAAGGACCCGAGCTTGAGAAGGCCCCTTGTAAAGTTCAGAAAACAACAGTAAAAGATAATAACTGGGTCTCGTACAAAAAGGAAGAGAGGGAAGAAGGGGGAGAAACACAGCAGAGCGAGGTGTGAGTCAAAACATTGCCTTCTAATTCCACAAACACTTCATTCGTGACAAAAGGCAGCTTACACTTAATGTGACTTTTTATTGTTATTTCTTACAATGACTCCATTGAGTCTGCAGAGGCAACTTAAAAAAAACAAAAAACGGGGGGAAGATGAGTGCATAAAGTTGTGTTGCACATCTGCTTCTTTGATAGAAACATGGGAATAATTGATTTGTAATTAAACGCCTGTGGATGTGGCTGCTAATTTGGAGGCTTACATGCTTTTTCTCTGCATTTGACCCTAGCAGCTGTTCGTTGTTTGCAGTTGAAAAGGAAATGTTCAATCATTGTACCTCCAGCCAATTTTAATATGTGTCTACCTGTGTCATCAGCGTAATCATCGAAAACTCTCAGGGACCTAAACTTCCAGGAAAACTGCAAAGTTCTAGAAAACATTCTTCTCTTGTGACCCGATGCTGCACTCATACATGTAAATAATAAATGCAGCCAATGAGGCCAGGAAAAATGTTTGGACCATCCCTGCAATTTTTTGCCTTTTTTCACCAAAAGTAATATCCAGCTGATTTATTGTTCCCTTATTGTCTAATATAATTTCTCGGAGTTGCAAAACATCACAAAGTAATGATACTATTTCAGTTTGAATGACTGCATAAACACTGCAAAACTTGGCAAAAAGTAAAAGCCGAGGCACGTAGTTGGAGAATTCACGTCATTCGCTTTAAATATCATCGGTATCAGCACAAAGCTGCTCAGTTATCATTTTTTGCCTTCTAATTATTTCTTTTATAAATGTTGTGTAATGTATGTCACAAAAACCTCCTTTTTTTTTGTCTCCCTCCATTTTTTTTCTAATCATGCTCACCTGTTCCCTCAATCTCCCGTGTTTTACAGATGACCTTATCTCACTTTTTATTTCATTTCATTACTCTCTGGGGCTTCAAATGGGCATTTTGCTTTGCTTACCTACTTTCGGCTTATCTTCTCATCTCTGCAGCACTGTTTTCTCTCTTTTTCCTTTCCTCGCCTCCCTCCCCTCCAACCATCCGTTACCCTCTCTCTCTCGCTCGCTTAGCGCTGTCCATAAATTGTTCGGTATTTACAGTATGTGGCCAGACGCCAGGTTTCCATTAGGTGCTCTGTTCCCCGGAGACGGCGCCGGTGGCCTGGGATGTGTTACCTTTGGATGGAGGGCAGTAGGGAGGGTGAGGGGGGACAAGCTTGTGAGGAGAGAATAGGAAGTAAAAAGGAAAAAAAGAGGGGAAGGGAAAGAGATTTGAGCATGTATTTAAGGCAGAGTGAGAGAGGGTGATAGTGAGAAGGTCAAGTGAGGAAAAAGGAATGAGTGGAGAGATATAAAAAATAGAAAGCTCTGGGAAGAGAAGGTAGGAAGGTAGATGTAAATAGCTTTTGCACTTGTTGACAGTAACAAGGTTACCTTCTTTTTTAGAAAATTTGACTGGTGCTCAACAGGTGGTGCTTGAATGACTGGTGTTTAGTAATGAAGAGTTCAGTGGAACCTTGTTTTGTTGTGGAGACGAACAATATCTACATCACGGGGTGAGAGGATAGAGTTTTCTGCCTCCTAATGTGAATAAAAAGCCATATCTGGTTGGAATTTGTTTCCGTGCGTGGCACCGCGGCACTTCCAGCACAGCTGTTACTTTAAGATTGCTCCCTGTAAGCCCCATCCTAACCACTCACATTTGTGCCTCTGCAGTACGCACTGGATCTCCTTCAATTTGAATTTCATTTTGGGAAAGTGGATGAAGTTCTGGGGAACTAAATCTGGCAAGTAGTGCTGGTGATGAGCAACAGTTGCCCTGGTCCTGCCCAAATTTGTGGTTTAGTAGTGATGGAAGCTCTCCAGAGATGCAGAAGAAAATAACTTTGAGGAGGAGCTTGATCATGTTTAAATCTTTTATGGCTTTTTATTTCTATGTGCAGGATCAAGGAACATTTTGAATGCACTTTGCACTGGCTTTCAGTTGAATTTTACTCTCACATGTCACATCGCATTGTTGAGTTCAAAGAATTAAAAGTTTTCAGTATTCAGAGTGTTTTCTGCATTTAGATTATTTGTGAAATTCAGACCTGTGGCACTTGAACTGAAAACTGTTTAACTAGAGCCTGTCTGTTTATTTTAACAGTCAGTCTAAAGGTACAAATGAAAAATACATGTAGAAACAAGTTTGGTAGGGCCAGAGGTGCCACCAAGGAGGGGCCAGGGGGGCACTGGCCCCTCCTGGCAAGACTGTCCTATGTTGGTAATATTTTTAATAAACATGAGCACAAGAGAAGAAGGCATCCTACAATGAGTTGAAACATTAACCCTTTAAAACCGGTCGGAGCGGGCACGCTCTGTTTTGCGTAACTATTTTTAAATCCCTGTAGAACCGGAACTGCGTAAGCTAGCGCAATTATTTTTTTTTGCATATGAAACTGGAGGAGTTGTACTTACATCTTATGCCATCAGCTTGTCCTAGGTCACAGTTTCCTTCCACATAAAGCTTTGCAAAAATTCCATAAAAGGCGCTTGCAGGAACAAAAACGTATATAAAGCATAAAGTCATGTTTGACTTTATGCTTTTCTGAATAGTTGCTGGGATGCTTAGAACTCGAATTGCACTGCTGGAAATAGTTTATTTTGATGCACATGCTGTTTTCTTTGCAAATTTGCATCATAGGATTGTTTTTCGTTTTTCCTGCAGTATATAGAAATTGGTGTATCTTAAAAATAAAACTATGAAGACACTCAAAATAAATTCCCTGTTGTTGTAAACTATTTTTTGCAACTTTTTTGTATTTTAAGTTTTGAGGGATAAACCTCCTAAATTTCTCCAGGTAGAAATATATGCAAAAAAACCAAAAACGATTTTCATTTTTTTTGTAGTTTATTGCACTGTTTTGCAATTAATGTGGTTACTATGGACTTAATGCATACATATTATTAAAATATGGGCTATAACAGTTGTATTGATGTATAGCAACTTGAAATGCTCCCAGAAATGGCACTACAGCATGTAAAAATATAATATAAGCTCTGGCGGACTTGGTTCTATGGTAGGTCTTAAAGGGTTAACTTGTTTTTTGTTTTTTTACACACACAGACAGAAGGTTGGTGGCACAGCGTGTGCCACCCCAATATTTTTAGTGATCCTCATATGGCCACCCTTATGAAAAACAATCTGAAGGTGCCCCTGCTGGTGACAGCATCTTATGTCACCAGTACACAAAATAAGCTTAGAAGCAGAGGAGCTATTTCTGAACTACTGTGTGTAGATTTTACAGTATCCAGCTGTACTACATTGCATATGGACACATTGTTTGACTTCCTAAAAAAACAGGTTTCTCTCTTTCGTTCATGTGAATGTAATAAGACAAATCCAAATGTGGGAGGACAGAAAAGCAGTGCGATAGATAAAGACAGAAGTAAAACAGGAAGGAATGAGTGGGGGAAAGTGGATCTAAAAGGAGATGGGGGAAAAAAAGAATGAGAGGAGATGCAGACCGAAAGAAGCATAAGAGGTGAAACATAAGGAAGAAAGAATTGGTAACGAAGAAAGAGACAGGAAGGCTTTAGAGGCTTTTGGATGAGGCTGTCTCCTTATCTGCTTTATCTCCTCCGGTTGTTCACTGCCGGACCCTCTCCCTCCCTTCCTCCCTCCTTCCATCTGTCAGACAGACAGCTGTTGGCAGACTCGCTCTGTTGTTGTTCACTCTGTCCAGAGTCTCCCCAATCCAAGCCCTCAGTTCCTCCATCTCTTTCCAAATATGCTTTTATATTTCTCTCCTCTCCACCCGACCCCTGTCAACAGTTTGGAAGAACTTGACATTCTTTGCGATTTACTCGTGTGGTCAGAAAGTTAAAAAGGTCTTCCTGTGGGTTACATGAGAACATCAGTGACATCAGTGTGCAATCAGAGTTTATTTGGTCTGTTGCACTTATTGTTGGCGATGTGTTTGTATTTGAGTGTATTATGTGAGTCTGAGCTTTATATTGGAATAAAGGACTAATGGTGAGCATTTATTAGAGTTTGGGCACTCTCGTCCTCTGCCAGTGAGATACATATATAGTTTGCTTGATTGCATGTTATTGTTTGGGTGATTGATTGCATTGAACCAGAGGTGTTTTAGTCAACATTTTGATTGGATTCCAGACGCTTCTAAATCTGCTTCAGCTAATACTAAGATTGCCTCTTTTTCTTCTTTAACTTCTCTTCGATTGCCTGTTCACTGATAAGTGTTATATGCAGAGTCTAGCATCAGGTCAATTAAACCTCTGGATGTTGATCTGGTCAGTGTCAAAGGGGGTTTATAATCACTTTCAGCTGCTTTGGTGTTAATGAAATTAGCAACAGGTGCACTAGAGGGGCAACAGTGAGACAGTCTCCGCAACAGGAATGGTTTTACAGTTGGAGGCCACTGATATTTTCTCCCTGCTCATCTTTTCTGAAAGCTTTTTTTTTAATTTTTTTTTTTAATATAGTCAATATAATAGTCAATGGTATTATGAGGTAGCATGAGGGGATACCTGGATCCCACTGGTGTGAATATGACAGACAAAAGAAACAGAAACAAACTTTGTGAGGATGGCCTGAGAGCCTGACGTCCTCAAGAGGGTGCTGTGCTCACAGCCTGGCATCGTGGCAAATGGCATTTGCCATAAAATACCAGAATAGGTGCGTGTACCGCTAGTGCCCCGTGCTTTTCACAGATCACCTTCACCTTGAGCACATGTGACAGGCGTAAAAGGGTCTGGAGAGGCTGTGGAGAACATTGTACCGCCTGTAGCCTTGATCAGCATGACCAGTTTGGTGGTGGGTCAGTGATGGTCTGGGAAGGCATATCCATGGAGGAACGCACGGAGCTGTACAGTCTAGACAACGCATGAAATCCTTGGGCCCATTTTCAGATACACTAGTACACTGGGTCCTGGGTTCCTCCTGGTGCACTGGTGCATGGCAATGCCTGACCTCATGTGGTGAAAGTATGCAGGCAGTTCCTGGAGAATGAAAGAATTGCCACCATGCTTGCCAATGGAAAACCTCTGGGGCATTATGCTTCAGCCTAACTGATGCCACCAGGTTGGACTTTAGCCTTTCCAGGAGCCATGCAGACAAACACATGTTTGTATGTCCACGAAATGACATCTTTTTGTTCCTAACACATTACCCAATCCTGGGTATCTGAGGGAGGACACTCAGCAGAACAGAAGCAAGCCATCATGCTGTCATGTACAACAAATTGAAAACACAAGTTGTTGTTTTTTTGGCCACATCAATAGAATCTTCTCTTACTGTACCTTACTCACCAAATTTTTCTCCTCCCTGCAACTTGGTCCTCTTTCCCAAAATAAAATTCAACTTGAAAGATCGTCATTTTGACTCATTGTCAATTCCATCATTGAGACGTAAATGCAAGGGGATAGAAGAGTACTTTCACAACATGATAACAGCTGAAAGCTTAAAACAGTCTAAAGATGAAACACTAAATATTTGTTGTATTACCTATACTAAAGAATTTATTTTTCAGCCTATCCCAGCTGTCGTAGGGCGAGAGGCGGGGTACACCGTGGACAGGTCGCCAGTCTGTCGCAGGGTTAACACAACCATTCACGCTCACATTCACTCCCGCATTCACACCTATGTGGCAATTTGGATTAATCAATTAACCTATCCCTGTACCCCGCCTCTCGCCCTATAACAGCTGGGATAGGCTCCAGTGCCCCCCGCGACCCTGAAAAGGATAAGTGGAAGCGAATGGATGGATGGATGGAATTTATTTTTCATTCCTTGAACATTTATAACAAAAGGTTTGTTATTAGTGTGAGAGGTATTTTATTTTGAAAGTCATTTGGGATAAAGAGAACATGCCTTGGTTTCGGTAACTTGTTAGAGAGCTGCATTATTAAACTACATTTGTAACTATTTACCCCCTCCCCCCCAAAAAACAAAAAACATTGTATTACTTCATTCCCTCGTTCCAGGTCCGCTGGTCAGATGTGGGTGGGATGGAAGAAGTGAAGCTAAAACTGAAGCAGGCAGTGGAGTGGCCCCTGAAGCACCCAGAGGCCTTCACCCGCATGGGGATCCAGCCACCTAAAGGCGTTCTTCTCTATGGGCCTCCGGGCTGCTCGAAGACCATGATTGCCAAGGCTCTGGCTAATGAAAGTGGGCTCAACTTTCTGGCTATTAAAGTGAGTTTCCTCCATGAAATCTTAAGAATAATCCTTTGCTATCTTTCTTTAGATGAGATTTAATAGAGAATTTTGCTTTTCTGTTATGCAATGGATGATGAGTTGAAATCAAAAAAGGCACTGGGCCAAAGCTTGCTGTTTTTTCCAAACTTTCATACATAAATATGAACAAATAATGTTTTACAGATGTGCCTGTTCATATCATATTCTTGGTTGAGTGCTCTGCCAAAACACTGCATATGACTCAGCCATTAGTTAGATGATGGGTGATTTGTTGAGTCAATCTCAACTCCCAGTCCAAGCCTTTTTAGCGGAACCTCAGTAACAGCAGTGTTTATGTACGTTGCATTGTCATTCCCTCAGAAACCAACTGGAAGAACTTAGTGAAATTACCTCCCTTTAACGTGCATGTGTTGAACAGTTGTGTTTCACATCTTCACTGAAATTTAAAGATGTTTGCACCAAGTTACCTGCTTCACAACTCCATGTTTTTAGCATAGATTGTATACAAAAAAAAGAAATTACTACAATGAAATCAATCAGTCGTATCATATTTGTTTTTTGGAGGTAGATGTTGCCCTATTTAGACAAGAAGGTTAGTGCTAAGTTATTAGCTAATGTGTAGATCACTCCTTCATCCAAAGACTGTACTGGTGCGTTGCATAGACACAGATACCAGCTAATAAGTGACATGCAAGAAGCAAATACTAAAATTTCAATCACCAAAACAATGAGCACAAACTAGTAAAATGGGCTCTTAGTACCATTAAACACACAAGGGGCCATATGATTTGTCAGATAATTGCATTAAAAGGAAACCACAAACGCAGATGGGAACTCCACTTAACTGACATTTATCTCTAGTCTGTCAGTGAGATGTAAGAGTTAAATGAACACTGAGATATCATTTGTGTTGAAGTAGCAGTGGTGATGTTTCCCTAATGACCTGAAGGCAGATTGGCGGGCCAGCTTCCTCTGCACAGAGCTTCCTTGCTTGCCCTTTGACCCCGTGTTTATCCTCTTTCATTCATCACTCCATCTTCTCTGCCACGTTAGCCTCGCTGCCCTCCAAGCACGGTTGACAGAGATTGATTGATCAGCTTGCTGAATTGTTATCAGTGAATATTTTTAAAGAATGTTGCCATGAAGACAAGAAGCCAAGACAGAAGCTCTCAAGTGGCACCATTAAGCCAGGAGCAAATCTAGATGTGAACTGCAACGTCTTTACCCAAATCAAATCCTGTCGCAAACCTCTGGGATCGACGGAAGGCAGTGCTCCTTTTGGCATGATGTTGGGGTCGAGGATACAACGTTTATGGCAGTTGGTGAAAAACAAAGGGTAGCACTGTAGAAACCAAAAATGTTGTTACACTTACTCTAAAAACAAATATCCCCCTGAAAATTACAAAACGTGCTGTTTCCTAATTACAATAATCAGGTTCAATGTGCAATAGCATTTTAATGGAGCAAATATAATCCAGAGGAATACGAGTTGTTTAATGTCTGTGCACGCACATTAGTCCTGGTGACTATTTCTAGCATTTGATACAAAGTTACTGCTTTTTTTTTTTAAAAGAGTTTTATTATAATCTTGTGCTGCAAGTTTCAAGTCGTCACAAAAAGAATCAGTGAGAAGGGTAAAAACATCCTGTCCCTCCTGCTGAAAGCCACTCTCACCATCTGAAATAACACTATCAGGTTTTTCCAGAGTAGCGGTTGCTTTGACATAGATACTTTATCCAGATTTAAATGTGGATACTTTAAGGCTCAGTCTGTTTCCTCTGTGTGAAAAGCCCTATTATCATCTTGTCAATTTTAGTTTCCTCTCGCTGCAGCCACTCAAATACACTCAAATCCACAGATGCATACGTGCACACTAACACACACATACGGAGACTGCTCATATCTCTACATTGTCAATGGTTTTAAACTCACCATGTCCACCCTTTGGCTCTACAACAGAGAGTGAGGAACCAGGGATTAATGAGTCAACCTCCTCACTTACTGCAGGAGACAAAGGGGCTGGGAGTTAAGTGTCGTCTCCTCGGTGAGCCCAGAGGCGTTGAAAGGGTGGATTGCAGTGGAGGAAGTTCTTCTGAGGTTTGAGTGGATGTTTATCTGCTCTGAGCAAGGGAGATATGAGGGAGAAAAGGACTAGGAAGTTAAGAAGAAGAGAGAGAACTGGAGGTTTATTTTGTAGTAATTTGAGTAAAATTAGTCATAATAGCAGTTTAAGTAGAATTAAATGAAGTGAGTACATTTTTTAGCGTCCACAATTCCCTCATCCACAATGAAATGCCGGAAATGGCTTAATCGCCTCCTATTTTGTCAGGAAATAACAAGCGTATGCTTTCCAGTAATTATCTATTTGAACAAGCAGGTTGTTTGTTATGCCAAACGTCTCTCTGATCGATGCTCTTCAATAGCATACTGACATTGAACGCGTCAGTGAGATGCTTTCCTAGTACAGTATTAGTTGATTTGCTGCTGCAGAGCATTTAAACATATCTTAAGTATATTCCATGCTTCTTGTAAAAACCCAGATGTAACTGTCCAAGCTGTGAGGGAAAACTCAAGAAACCATTTTCAAACATCTCTGGTTTTAGGCTGACAGGAGGCCAAAAATGAAGAGAGGAAAAAAGTATCCTCTCAAACATAACCGGCAGAGTGTGGATGTGGTCTTAGTAGCAGTGGTATCTGGAGGAATTAGTGTCTTCCAGTTGGAAGAAACTGCAACTAAATGGAAATAAAATGCTCATTTATCACTGTCAGCAAGGCTGGGTAAAAACCTTGACAAATTTGGCTGCTGTCCTGCACACAGTTTTGATCTGGCTGAGCCAATGCAGTGTTTGGTTTTGGTTACAAACCTTAAATTTTATCTGTGAGAATGAGCCCGAGATTTAATTTGGTAGGTTGTGATGCCAGCTACAGTTATCGTGGCGTTCATAGTAGGTACTGGTAGCACTATTGTACTAACAGTAACAAGGGAGGCCGCAGCAGCAAACAGTACTGTTTATTTGCCAAGTGAACCACAGGTGTTGCATAAAGCAGTACACAGTGTCCAGTAAACATCGAAAGAGTACTGTGGAGGTACGCACTCACACACACGTGCACGCACTGCTGTAATCTGTAACATTCTTACGCTGTATTATCATTGTTTGTTTTTCACCGGGCTCTTTGTAGCCTGCAAAAGATGTGACAAAGAAGCAGCTGCTGTGTGGTCACAGTTTAAACAGCTATGCTAACAGGACTGCCTCCAGATGAAGCTTCAGGATAAAAAAGGAATGATTAGTCATAAAGGTGCTAGTAATTAAGGCAAATGAATTCTTTCTGGACAGAATAAAACCCACATCAAAGTGTTTTGAGTATTAGTTAATATAATTTAGCATTTCAGGTTGTAAATATGTCATGTTTTAGACTAGCTTGAATAACTTTAAATCGCTTTAAACTTTTCTTTCAGGGCCCAGAATTACTGAGTAAATATGTTGGGGAGTCTGAACGAGCTGTGAGAGAGGTATGTGCATTTAACATCCTTGTTTTTTATCATTTACATATACGTATATATATAAGTTGTGTAAGCAGAAAGTTATGCAAACTGAGTTGATTTCCTGGCCTCTTTATTTCCTCCGTCCATGCTCTGGATATTTTTGGTTGTTTACGCAATGAAAGGATGACCTGAGATGTAATTCATGGCATTAATGAGTGTTGTATTTCCTCTGTATGTTTGTGCGCACTTCTGGTTGGGAGTGATTCACAAGTCCGGTTAAACATTTGTCCTGTTTTCCTCTTTTCTATTGTTGCTGACGCTGCTCGCAGGTGTTTCGGAAGGCGAGGGCCGTCGCTCCCTCCATCGTCTTCTTTGACGAGATTGATGCTCTCGCAAGTGAAAGAGGAAGGTACAGTATGTTCTTTTCATAGTCTTCGTACATAATAATCCCCCCCCCCCTTTCCTCCTCTGCTCTGTTCATTCCTTGTCCAGTCATGATGATGCACAATCATCACTGTGGTCGGCTTTAGTTCACCAGCCTTAATCTTTGACCCCCCGCAGATCTCACAGTTAATTCATATGAGGGTTAGCGCAAACATCCCAGGAAGTCTGCATGACTGCACTATCCAAGCCAGCCACTCAGTTCTCGTCGTGTCTCCTCAAACTTCTGCGGCTTTTCACTCCCGGTGAACACAGAACACAGTCTTGTCTGGAGGAGCTTTAGTGGGATGGCACTGGGAACATCTGTGGCTTAAAGGAAAGAGGACGAGGGGGAGGGAGGGGGGGCGGACAGAGGACACAGGCCGGAGGCGCACAAACACTTCATTGTGCCCTTCCACAGCAGATGGGGAAGGCCAAATATGCAGCAAGCTTCCTGGTTAAACCAACCGATGAAACTAAGTTGTAGGAAGGAGCAGAGAAAGGCCAATGGGCAGTCTTTGTAACCTTTGTGAGTGGGCCCTTTGTCAAAGCATCACATTCTGCTTCTAAGACAAAACATATTTTGATAACTGTACTTTTGTTAACGGGCTTCCGCTCATGAGATGTTGAATTTTTAACATCTTATATTCCCTTGACCTTAGTCTTAGACTTGATAAGCTAGGCCTTTCACTAGGCTGAGCTTTAGAGCTTGTGACTTATAATGCAGTCTTGGCTCTTGCGCTGCAATCAGCATACAGGATATACTATTGCAACTTTGATTCATCCATTTGCCAGCGGGACTGACGAGCATTTTGGCTCTTACGATATGATTGAGCCTGGCTTTCTCATTATCTCCATGTCCAATTTTGTGATTGATCTCAACGAGAACCAACTGTGAGGTGGCAACGATCGACGTTTGCCTGGATGTGTGCCTTGAGCCCACTCACTGTTTTAAAAATGCACTTAGCGCTGATCTGTAAAGGTTATTTATTGGTGTTCACTTCCTGCCATGTTTAATCAATGAAGTGCCTCGCGCATGCCGGCAAGAATTTAAAACTGTTGACACAACCAGACAGTCTCTGCCGGATTGTGAGCCCGTGCGTGTGTGAGAGATTGCGTTTTTCTTTTCGAGGCAGGACAAACACCTGTAAATCTGTCAGCCTACCTGCCACGAGTCTAAACTGGTGAAATGAAATGAAGAAAATTGAAGAAAGACGGAAACAGAGGCCAAATTTGAGAAGCAGAGAGTGATTGGTTTTACTTCTGATAAGTTTTTTTCCACATAATAGCACCTTTTAATGCTTTCCTTTTTATTTCTGTTTTCCTTTTTTTCCCCTCTGTTTTGTTTTTATCGTCCCATCCTCAGCTTGTTTTTTGTTCAGTTTCTCTTTTTCTCCTCCTCATGACTTTTTTCTGTTTATTTTCCCATGATAACTTTTCTCATCTTGCGCCTTTGCTACTTTTCTCTTCAAGCTGCCATCCCAATTCATTGCAGCTTCCTTGGCATCTCCCCTCGCCCAAACTTTGTCTCTCCCCCTTCCCCCCACCCCCTTTTCTGTCTCCCTTCATATCTCAGTGACAGAGCTCTTTTGTGTTCCTCTGCAGCCTTGTCTGTACTAATGACGTCTGGCACTTCCGCTGGCCCTGTCAACAGAGACTGTGTGTGTGTGTTTGAGCTTGGAGGGATAGCTGTCTGCACTGTGTTATGGAAAATAACCACCTTGTTATGCAGTGACTAATGCAACGATGAGCTTTTTTTGTTTTTTACGATACAGCTGTCGATTTGCTATTATGCAGTTCTTCTGTCCCACTGTTGCAATGGACGAAGTGGTCCGTCACTGCAATGTATAAAGTTTTGTTTGGTAAAAACTGTTCCTGGATGTTCAGGTAGCCTCAGATGGCTGACCTTACTCATTCACTGACCCCTTTAACATTTGGAAGCTGCTCAATCTTTAAATTTTGCTCCATTTAGGTGAAAGGGAACAGCCTGTCTTTCCTTCTTTTACCCTTCTCTGACTCATTTTCAGTAGAGCATCTCAATACTTTGGTTTACCTTTGAATTACATGAAATATTTGCATAGATCGGCTTTCGCTTCTTCATCACATTGACTTCAGGTGAGGCAAGATATTCACAAGTCCAAACAAAGAGACGTATTTAACAACCATAGAAGAGCTGCTTTATTATAGAGGGATTGCCTGTTTTCTGCTGCCTTGTTTTGAGTTCAGTTTAATACGTCATTGGCAAGAGAGCTCGCTTTTGCTGCCAGTTTTTTTGAAAGAAGTATTGTGCTAATGAAAGTGTCTGCTTGCCGAATGTCAAATGTTCCCTTCAAGTACTCAAGAACTGGCAAATTTTCCTGATTATGTAGAATTGTAAATATTGTGATGGATGATAAAGTTTTTCAGCATGTGTTGTACCGCACTCCTGAGAGAAAAAGGATGAATTCTTCTACATATCTGGATCATTTATCTTCCCATTCATCCATCACGCATGTAACTTCATTATCCCTTATCCTTTACTCTCATTGCTCCGAGTATTTCTTTTCTGTGCATTTCCTCCTTTCCACGTTCATACCTTTACAGGTCATGGTGTTCTTCCTCCCTTCCCATCCATCATTTAGCTGTACTTCACTTAACACTCAGTAATTCAATAATTAAGTTTTTCACCCGATTCGAGGTAATTTATATACGTCCTTTCCTGTCTCCGTTATCCATTTAATCATCCAGCCACACATCGCTTTCTTCTCTCTTTTCCATCTTCTTTCGCTCATCTATCTTCTGTGCTTCTCCATGCCTTCAGCTCCTCTGGTTCCAGTGGTGTGGGGGACCGGGTCCTGGCTCAGCTCCTGACAGAGATGGACGGCATCGAGCAGCTCAGAGACGTCACCGTTCTGGCTGCCACCAACCGGCCTGACATGATCGATAAGGTAAACAGACGCCGGCTCTCTGTCTTCATCTCTCCATTCTCCTCTTTGGTCCATGATTGATAAGCTTGAGGAGATGTTTAGTTTGTCTCCCTTGTCTACTCCTCTCCCTCCCTTACTTTGTTGTACGTGATTGATAAGGTTAAAGGCCGCTTGCCCCGCTCCGTCTTCTGTGACTTGCTCTTCGGATGCTGATGCCATTAGTACGTCGTGGTGCACTTTATATGGTTTCAGTTGCATCCATAATAAATTGTTCTAAGTAACTCAATCTACCTTCATGCTTCTACCCTTTTAGTTTACTTTAGTGGAATAACTGCTGCCAAAGCATTTTTTTTTGTCCTCTTTCTGACCCAAACCAATTCACATATCTGATTAGAAATTAGGCTGTAATATGATGAGGTCATCAAATATAATAAATTCTTCGTTTCATTTTAGCCTCCGGGGATTGGGAGCATTAGTGATTGGGAGCTCAAGCCAAGCCGCTAAACATCTACAACCACTTTACCTTTACGTTTAATTTGCTTAATTTAAAACTCAGTAAAGGTCAAACATTTGTCTCATTGTCATTTCTACTTCCTCTCCTTGACAATTTGAAGATCATACTCCCGTCTTTTCTCCCTTAGCCTCCCTCTGTTTTTATCTCCTCCTTTCTCTTTTCTCCACAAAACCTGTGTTTGGTATCCACCCATCTCTGTTTTAATGAAATTTCCTGAGTGCTGATCAAAGACTGAGCCTGTGCCTTGTCAAGAAGGACACAGGAAAGGAGAATGTCGCCGTGCTCTGTAAGCTTCTGCACAGGCAGCCCTTTCTCAGTTTTTCTTCTGCTTTTTTTGCGGTAGGGTGTCCTCCGATATTGAGTTTAAAAAATACTTTGATGTTACACATTTTAAAAGACGGTATCACGTCCTAATTTAACATGGCAAGCATTAAAATATTGCTGAATTAAGTAAACAGGAAGAAAATTACATAAAGCTGTTGTTCCTCCAACCAGCAACGGATCAACAGATCAATACACTTTTTTATATATTGATTAGTTGTTATAAACTGGTAAGGACTTTTTGATAACATGCTGCTCAAACAGCCCACTTGTGGAAAATTGATCCATCACTATGGTGATGGTAAAACCAAAATAAATTTCAGCAACAACTGATTGCAGTCTCAATTCAGACGCTTTTTAGTGGTATCACTGCTAAAGAAACATACTAAGCATAGAACTGTGAGAGTGTGTATGTGTGTGTCTAAAAGAAAGAAAGATTTAAAAAAAGGGGGGGGGGAATCAAGCCCCTGGGTGCACAGATGGGAAACCCCAGGCGTCCTTGTACAAGCTGGCCTCCCTCTCAGGAAGTGGTCCCCCGTGCAGCTGAGAAATCAGATTACCTCCTGCTGGCAGTATCCCCCGACACAGTGTGTGTGCGTGCTTGCATGTGTAACGTGTGTGTTTTCATAGGTTCAAGTCATCTGAATGAGGAACGGAAGCTGCCAAATGGACAGACAGGCACCCCACATTCACCCCTTACTTTTTTAACACCCTACCCTTCTTTACCGCTCATTCGCCACCACCGGCGCTGTCTGTCACTTCAAGCCGGAGATGGGCAGACATTTCCATGCCAATGGCAGGATATGATAGGACAAATGAAGATTAATGGGACGCCTTGGTGTCAATGAAGTTATTGTGGGCTGTTAGAGGTGCAGTGGAGGCCTCCTGGGGGCCTCAGCTGTTTGACGGACAGATTGAGTGGGATGGCGAGAGAAAGAGAGTGGGGAAAGTGGTGTTTATTTTAGCTCGAAAGGAGCAGGGCTGTTGTCCATCTCTCAACAGCTCCTACACAACATTTTAGGTTTTAGTTTTTTTATCCGGTTGTTTTAGTGCTCTCCATTTAATGTCTGTGTAAATAATGTTTTTCATTTAGTCAGTTAAAGACCTGCAACACATCTTTGGTAAGTGTATATTGAGGAGGCAGTTTAGCAAAAATATAATCATTTAAATATAGATTCCCACATGGTTCTTATCAGCTCTTTTGGGAAAAATGAAATTGTCATTTCTTTCCTTAAAAATGCTCTTAGAGTGATGCTCTGAGATGCACAAATGGATGGATTTACTTTGCTAAGGAGTAAAATAAATCCTGATTTTCTTTGCTTTTTCCTTACTTGGGAGTGATGTCCCTCCGAGCTCCGAGGCAAATGGGACGCAGGATTCTAGCATATCATGTCATGATGGCATAATCAAAGCATGTTGTCAAACAAAATGTAAGTTTACACCTGATTGTAATGATCCACGATTTATGATTTCACTTAAATTAACCTCCTAAGACCCGAACTCTTCCACGGCATGCATTTTTTATTTCTCTTTGATATTTGAGCTGATTGGGATATTTGACCTGAAGAATGAAAAACAAAGAATTACCAGATTTTTTTATTTTTTTTATATTTTTTTTACCTAATTTTTGTTTCTAAGAAAAATGAGCTCCACATATGAGAACATTTGTTTAAATTTAGATAGAACAGAAGCAGTATAATGTCCTGGTAAGTGGGTGTTTGAGTATTTTGGTCTAAATAACCCAAAATGTGATGTCCACATATGTGGATGCCAGGTCCTAGGAGGTTAGTATAGAAATATGTTGACATTAACACGTTTAAATCAGCCTTACTTACTGCTACTTATGAAATTACCTAACCAAAGACCAATTTATTGATTACTATATTTAGATTTAGATTTTCCATTGTTTTCTTTCAGTAAACTGTCATGTATGTGTTGCATTTCTTCATCATAAAACAACAGATTATCTTAATATTTGCATACAGTTTCTTACACACTATTAGGAGTTAAACTGTAGATGCCTGCAGTTGATTTGATTCTCAAGCCTAACAGTGGATTTATGTTTCTGTGTTAAATATGTGCCATAGGTACACTGCAATCATAAACCCTTCAGAAATCTTATACCGTAACCTGATGCTTAACTCCGTAGATATCTAACCACATGCCCCCAAGCACCCAGCATGAATAAAGTGAATGTGCATTATTACCTTGTCAAAAAAACATACAAACGGGGACAGCCTGTTCTTGTCCCAAACATGCACGAAAAGGGTCTGTGTAAGAAATGTCATAAAGCAGTCATGATGACGTGTCACCAAACACCACCATCCTACCCCCATTGCCCCCTCCAGCTTAAGAAGAAAAAAAAACTCTCCCACTTCCTCTTTCCTTTGTATTGCGCCAATCACCCAGGCCCACCTCTGACCCACTATGACTGAGCTGTGGTGATTGATTAGCACCACCAGGAATATTTATCCAGGCTGATCTAGTAGGAAGAACCCCCTGTCACTCTGTTTGTCGAGCAGCTGTCCATCTTGTTTATTGTACACACAAACACACACTCACAAACCAGAAGCCCCTTTTCTAGTCGGTAAAATGATGCTTTGATAGTTTTTTTTCCCCATTACAGTTTGTCTTTGCTGTGAACCCATGGGTTACTTTTGTCTCAGAAAGATAGTGTTGGTCTGTTGTTTCACTGAAAAGCCCATTTGTTTGCCCTAATGTGTGCTAGGCTTTATCCATGCTATCAGGAGGCAGGGCTACTTACAGTGGAGAAGATTGCTAGCAGATGGGTCTTTGTTTGTGACCAGAAGTTACCAACTGGGCTCTTATCTGAACAAGGGGCCACAACAAAACAGAGGCAGCAGAATTAGAATTGAAAGGGCAGCATGTCTACGTTGCTGTTCAGTACTGTAGGGGAAATTACAGTGGGTGAGTTTATCCTTCAACAAGTCAACACTTTCTGCTATTATTAGACATGAGAGTGTTTTTAATATTTATATTTTATAAGTATTGTGTTGGTGCACCCAGCAACTTACAAATTTCCACCTACACCAGATTCCTCTTTCTATTTTACAAAAACCCAAAGATTATTTATGACTCAAAAATGATCCGTTGAGTCACAAGTAGAGTACACAGCGTCCCAGTGGCATCCATTTGTCATCGAGCCTTTTTGTTGTTGACATTTTCCAGCGTTTGAAACCTGTTTCCCACCAGATCACAGTGTGTTTTAGTCACTAACCGTTATGTTTTCTGCCCTCTCATGTTTACGGACTCCTCCTTCTCAAAGTCTTCTGTGCTGTAGTGTAGCTTCTGAACAGGAGATGGGGCCAAAACTGACACGGGCCAAGATTCTTGACAATTCTTTTCAAAACTTGTCGATCCTACTTTAAAGTAAAGAAATGAAAATGTTCAAAAGTGTTAAAACGCCTTTGGTGCTTAAAGGATCGTGTAAGAAGCCTTTAATGTTATAAAGTAAATTCCTTCTGTGGCTGGTAACAGTCACATGTTTTATGTGACACAGAATACATTTTGGCACATAAAAATGAGCTTAGGGTGGAAGGAGTAGTGTACTTGTTATATTATTTAAAAGCATGTAATGATGATGCTTTGTGCACTGTTGTCTCTATAAATTAATGTAACTGCTATGCCTAGAGTTTTTTGATTTGGTCCAAAAAGTCATACCACATGATGTCTGGCACTGGAAACATGAGGACACATGAATCTCTGTGCTCTTGTAGTACCGTAACTGACCTTATAAATGTGTAACTTTTTATTCATTCATAATTGTAGCTATGTTTTTGTAGAATCTGTGGTCCTTTCTAATCCAAGATCCACAAAGTTAAACATTTGTATTTTGTAATCAGATCAAAAGAAAAAGTATATTCTCATTTCATGTGTATATCAGTGCACCTGGCCCTAGGTTTGACCAAGTATATGGAGCATGTTGATCAAAGTCCATTCATTAAGCCGTTCTGTGGCCTACCGGGCTTTAGCAGGAGTCATACAAAGTAAACACTTGACATCACGCCAGTTCGAGCAGCCTGAACATCTGCCAGTGTTTTCCCAGCCAGTCTGGATGTTGCTAATTGTAATCACAGATGAATTCCACCAGACTGTAATTAGTGGGCCACTTGTTAAATATTCAGGCATTAGTTAAGTGTAGCTTTGATTTTTTTTTTCCTCCCCT